AAATCCAAAGTCCCAGTTTAAAGATAAGGGGTTTAACGGGCTCGGGAGAAAAGTTGCAATTGGCTCATGTTTGTAAAGGGAAAAGGAATAGAGCGAAGGCAAACAATCTTTGAGGGGTTGAGAATACCATGTATAGCCTTCCAAGGTGTAGTAAGGGTAGCTCGACGAGATATCCCGGAATCCCAACCATTTCCTCCACAACCATGAATGCTTGCCACCACCTCATGCCATAATCTCTTTCTCTCTCTCTCTCTCTCTCTCTCTCTCTCGGGGCCATCTCCATAGCCACTTCCCTAGAAGGGCTACATTCTTYARYACTATGTTCCCTATCCCTAAACCCCCTTCTTCCTTTGGTTTGTTAACTATCTCCCATCTGATTAAGTGATCATTTTTCACCTCTCCTGGTTCCCATAGAAAGTCCCTCATTCTCTTCTCCAGTTTCWTAGCCTCCCTTRGAGGAATCCTGAACAYAGAAAGGAAGTAGGTTGGAAGGTTGGCAAGTGTAGCCTTAATTAAAGTCAGCCTACCCCCTATTGAAATGTAAATAATTATTGTTAATGAATATAATACTTTACTATACCTTTTCACAAAAAAAGAACCCTCCATTTTTTAATGGCAAGCTGACATTTTCCCATCCACCAAATGATACTTAAATACATCCTTCCAGCCCTTCTAAAGAAGATTTCATTGTAGTTTCTCTGTTCTGTTAGTGACGTAGACTGGAATGGCTGGTTCTTGGGTGCTTGGTCTTTCAGGCAGTATTTAAGGGAAATTTTGATTTTAACTCAGGAGATTGGGGTGCAGGTCAAGTGGAAAAGAAGTTCAGCAAATGGTATTGCTGATGTTTTAGCAAAACAGGGAGTAAATAGGGAGGCTTTGTTCTGGGCTGTTTTGTAAGAATCTTTCATGAAGGTTCTCCACCATTCTTTGGGTGGTGACAGTTGTACTTAAATTATTCTAACCAATGAAAGTTACTGTTTCTTACAAAAAAGGATTAGTTGACTAGCACACTTTTAACAAGGGTGATGTACCTTCCTTGGGGAGGTAGCAGCATTTCTAACATGCAATCTCTTATGCATTCTTTCCAGCACTTGGTCCTATATAGATAGATTTGGATGCACATATTGTTCCCAGAGGTAGACCTATGCAATTTGTTAGGGAGATTTCCTAATTTGCATCCAAGCGTTACCTCTAGATCTTCCATATTGTTCACTGACCCTACCATTGTGCTTTCCTCTTTGATAGGTTGATATGAAGATCAGATATTGCCTCAGACTGTCCAAGGTTGCATCTGAGATAGAGCATCTGAAACTGAGAGGCACCATGAAGGAACAATATGTCATCCACAAATTGGAGTAGATTAAATTTAGATAGGTAATCGCCTGCTTAGAAACCTTCTATGTAACCCCCACTGCCTGGACTTAATGCCAATATGACTGAGTGATTATATTACACATGAAATAAGATGAATAAAAGAAGAAAAAATAGATCTCCCTACCTAAGAACATGCAAGCAAGGATCAAAATTTTGTCACGTATCGGCCCGTATCGGCCGATACGTATCGTATCAGAGCCTTCCCGATACGCCCCCACAGGGGGTGTTTCGGGTCGGCAAGTGGTTCAGCGGGTAGACCGGCCTTAAACCAGCCCCTCTGAACCAGTTTCAAAAAAAATAAAAAAAACACATAAAAAACAGTACCGATACAGGCCGATACGCCCTACCAGCTTATTTATTTATTTTGAACCTTGCATGCAAGTTTCTTCTTTGATACGATCATAAGCCTTTTCCATGTGGACATGTGTGTTAAAGAGGTTGGAGTACATTGGTGCCCCCGTATAGCTCTTTCTTTCATTTCTTATTTATTTATTTTTGTAATTAGCTTCTTGTATGGCACAACTTCTTGCTGTGGTTATGTTTTCTGTTTAATCCAATAATTTACTGTTTTTTCAAAAAAAATTCCATGTTGACATTGCTAATGGCCCTCTTTTTTTTGATAGTAAAAGGAAACAATTTTGTCATGGCAATGTCATTTCCAATGAGCATCAAGTATTTTCCTTCCTTTCAAAAAGCACCTTGAGAGGGGGAAGATAATGAAGCTGAGAAAACTTTTCATTACCTTTTGCCTTTTTTTGCCAACAATTTGTATATGCTACCAATGAGACTGGTTTCAAATCCTGTAGTTTTGAGTTTGCTTTCTTTTCAAAAACCAAGATGATAGCAGCATTGAGCCTTTGTTTGAATGATCTAGTTAAGTGGTTTCAAAATACCATATTGCAATATACTCCAGTATATCATGAAGAAAGTCGTGGTAAATCATCAGGCCTTAGGCGCTCAAACTTTATTCCCCTCAAGTCATTAGAGCTTCCTTTGACTCCTTTAAGAATAGCTTTTCCAAGTCTTTTGCTTATTGGTTTGTCATGTTTTGGAAGCCTAATCCATCCAGCCTTGTCTTCTTTTCCACGACTCATTATATAATCATATAGAGAGACTTGTAATAGAAAATGATTAGGAGATCAGAAAATTGTTTGTCATGTTTTGGAAGCCTAATCCATCCAGCCTTGGCTTGTTTTCCACGACTCATGATATAATCATATAGAGAGACTTGTAATAGAAAATGATTAGGGGATCAGCAAATTGTTTAACTGATACCTTGGCTGCTTGGCTAAGCAAGGGACCTTCAGGGATGATATGTTTTGGGCTGTATTGTAATATTTGAGATAAATTCTGGGGTCAACGCTCTTGTTGTGTGTGGTTGACAGTTGTGCTCCTTTTACTACTTCATTAATGAATGCTACTGATTCCAATAAAACAAAGAAAATGATTCTCCTGCCCCTCCAAGTTGGATATGCACCTTTTTATGCAGTTTCCTCAGTTTCTAGCATTTTTTTTTTGGTTTTATGGAAGAATTGGAAGAATTTGGTATTATTGTTAACCATCTTTTAACCAAGCAACTCTTATAAATTGTCTCCATTTGGTTTTCTCTTGATAGCTTAACTTATCAATTTTTTTTCTTGGTATAACACTGGTTTATCCTTTCTTCCAGTGTTTTAAAAGGCACACGTCTAGGCAAGGTGCTAAGTAAACACCTGGAGGTGCACAGTATAGAGGACTATAGATGCTTAAGGTGTATGCCTCCAGCATAGTTAGAGGCATAAGAAACATGCATTTCTATTGTGCTTCATACGGCTTTATTACTAGGCATCAAATATATACAAGATAACATACACTTTTTAGAGAGAACATTTTTACGGTGGGGTTGCATATCGGACCATGTAATATAATCCAAATACACATGGAGTGTAACCAGATAGCACCGATGTGCATGTTGCTTGAACGGGGACGTCAGATTCTTCAGGTGATGGTGGTTTGTGAGTCCTTGACAATTTGCCTCTGCGGTGGCATGGATAGGCCACTGGCCATGGGATTAGTAGGAGATCAAGACATGAATAGGACTTGGCCTATTGCTTGGGCCAAGGCATGAGTAGGGTGTCTCATGAACGGATTAGGTGGGCTTATCCATATGCTCATGGAGGCATGGACATTACTGTTACTTTGTTATGATGACCAACTGCACCTATTCCTTTTCTCATTTCTCTTTTTGGAAGCAGAGTTTTTATCCTTATTTTGTGGTGAGATCACCATGCTACTAGGGCTATGATTAGACATAGGTCTTGGCCTTACTCCTTGAGAGATATTTGGAAAGTTCTCAAGTGTCAATACTCTTGTGATTTCTAAGCAGACTTCGCACTTTCTTCAGAGGTTTCATGTGAACTTTACCTTGATACGGGCCAAATCATGAATCTCCAGCTCCAATTTGATTTTATAAGTATCCATGATGAGACCTCCAAGAAAGTGCCCATATCCATGAGACCTCTGATTTGATGTTATGAGTATCCAATACTGTTATGATTTCTGGACTCTGTAGGATTAGGGGAAGCCCATATACCAGACCATGGGGTCATCTACCTGTATTTTGAAAGGTTTATTTGAGGAGCATCCTGTGTCTGCACTCTAATAATCTAGTTGGAGCTTTATTCTTCCCATTAACCAGGCTCATCTCTTAATTGTTCTTTTTGCATCCTGCTCTGATTGGGGAGTAAGCAAAGAAATAGGTTGTGAATTTAGCATTTTTACTTTTGCTGGTTTCCACACTGCTTCTTCTAAGTTTTCACATCCCCAACAAATGATACTCTACCTTCAAAACATATGGAATTTTACTTATGTTTTTTTATTGAATTTTCAATGTCATCTTGCAGGCCAATGACAACTTAAATCTTCAACTGTTGAACTTGAAAAACAAACTATCTGGTACAGAACCATGGAACTTATATCAGCAAAGTAAAATTGAGCTTGGGCGACCTCATTACACAATCAATGATGACTTTGAAAATCTTGGGTCAACACCAGAATGTACTGGCCCATTTTTTCCAATATCTGGAGAGAGCTTTACTGAACCAGTCTCAGTCTCAGGTATTAGTTCTGATTTGCAGTCTCTGATTGGAGGATCTGTCAGAAACAAGTCACAGAGTTCTTGCATGTATTCCACTACTGCTTCCTTTTCTGATAGAGAGTTGGTAGGGTCACATGGAAGAGGTTCTTTTTCTGTAAAAACATCAGAAAAATTGGTGGAAGAGAACTCAAAACAGGGATCAGCAATTCCTGGATTTGCTGGGAAAGTTACCAAATTGAAGTCTGACAAAAAGCTTGCAGTGGTTAATGAAGATGACATAACACCAGTTCATAGAAAGCCAAAAAATCTGTGTTCGAAGTCAAATGACCATGAAAATAGTAAAGCTAGTGGCAGGAAGAAGAAGAGGATGCAGGATGCAGTGGAATGTATTGAGTATTTATATTCTGAGGATAAGAGGTTGCATCTGCAGATAGAAAAAAAGTTGTCTTCATTACATGATATGTTAAATCATAAAAACAATCTGCCTCCTGCAATTTTTTCGCGAAGTGATGCAAAGCCAGCTATCTTGCAAGATGGAAAATGTCTAGTTTCTAAATCATTTGATGACCTACATGCCAAGAACTATGGATCTAGAAAAAGGAGAAAGGTGTCTGAAAAAAAGAATTTTCATCCTTGTACTGATAATGCTAAGAGTAAGCAGATGAACATGGTTGAAATTGAGGACTTTGAAGATGCAGCTGTCTACAACCTAGCTGTATCACCTGTGAATTGCTTAAGAGAAACTCATCATCCTTGCAGGGAAGAAACAATTGATGCTGTTGTGAGCAGCAAAGAAAAAGAAATATGCTTTGAAAACGTGTCTACTGGAGATTATATGAAGCTGCTGGAGTTGGATAATACTGTTGATGAGGAAAGGTATAGGATGGCAATTGAAAATCCTCTATCACCGGATTTACCTGAAATCAAAATTCCTAGCATTGAAACATTTGAAAGGGATTTCTCCATTTGTTTGTCAGAGGAGGGCATCCATAGAAAATGTGCAAATGACAATTTCATTATGTCTTGCAGCTTTGATGTCATTGATGTGGAAATTGATTCCAATCTGCATAAGGTAAAAAATTCTGTTACGTTTTTTGAACATTTAGAAAATAATGAAAATGTGTCTCATAATGCAATAGATGCTGGAAAATCTTCGGTTCCCCAGGTTGGGGGGTTGGACATGGGGATGGAGATGGCAAAACAAATTCTAATTTCTGGAACTGAGGAGACACAAATTCTTTTTGCAAGCAATTCCGGATTTAAAAATGTGAGAAATTCCAAGTATTGTGTTGTGTTTTCAAGCTCAAAGAAGGAAAGCAACATTTCTCGGATACTCTGTGCTACGGAATCCTGTTTATCTCGGAGCTCTATGGCATCTCAGACAGATTGGGCTGTGCAAAAAATTCTGCTTGCCCTCATGATTGAGCAAAACCTTTTACCTGAGTAAGTGGATTTCTGCCATACTATTTATATATAATTTTTCTAGTATCTTATATTTTGAGGGGATCTACAACTTTTTCTTTTGTGTGTTTCTGCTAAGCTTAAACTTGCATCTTTATTATGCCTTAGTATTTCTTCTATATCCCATTTCATTTATTCAGGTTCCTTGCAAAAATAGTTTCAAAAATGAAACATCTATGGAAAATGAATTAATTCCACTTAAATGCTTTCACTTCAATGGCAACTGAAGTAAAACTTTCCTGTCCAAAATTTAGTCTAGATTTAATAGAACTTCAGAAATGATCCATTAGAAATATTACAACCATAAAATGAAAGATACATTATTTTGGTTGAAAATTTGAAATGCAAATGTGTGTAGATTAAAACTCCAAAATAACATAATAGAGAAAGTTTGTTTTATCCAAAAATAGTAGATGATATTATACATTAAACTTAAGAAAACCAACCGGCTAGAACAGAAAAATTGAAAATAGCAAATGAACATAAATGAATGTTCGCTTGTTTTATTTACTTGTGATAGAAGATGCTGTACCTTATGGCCATGGCTATGTTCTATTTAATTATGTATGGTTTAGTTGTATAATGAGTTTTATATGTGCAATGATGCCTATTGTCTTAAGGTTCATTTTAGATTTCCAACATTTTGTTAGTTCCATAGTTTTATAATGTTCCCTAAAAGCTTCTTGATGTAGGAAAGGAAGGAGTCCCACTAACTTAGGATCTGGTGGTGGATTCTGTAGGGGTAAATGAGGGCTGTGGGTGATTAGAGATGAAGGATATGAATGGAGAAATGGTTATAATGCTTACTGTTATGAAAGAATGGGAAAGAAACAATTACATGTCCGCCCCTGTCTTCACTCAGTAGCTATATATAAGTAATGCTGGTTTCAACAAAAAAAGTTTGGGGGGCCAAGGACCCCCCATCTTTATACCTGGTTCTGCCCCTGCTAGGGATGTTGTAAAAAGTCTCTTATTTAAAATCAAGCAGTTGGTGGTCTTGAGAATGAGTTATAATTGACACAGCTGCTTTTGGTTTTATAGTTGGTGTGCTTCTTATCACATAGAAATGTTATTATAGGTTGTTGATTTTAATTTTAGATTTTACTTATCAAAGAAAAGATAATGGTTTTAGATTTTGTTTTTTCAATCGCAAAGATATTTGATTGATTCTATCTTATGTTTCTATCCTTTTTGGTAGATTCTATCTTAAGTTTCAAAATAATTGATTATTGTTGCTGATTTTCTTTTTCCACTTATTGCTTTAGGGAGAAGGTCTGTGTCTTCTTTTCATCATTGCTGCATAACTTTGCTGTGGTCACTTCTGTGAAATTCAGAAATTTCTTGACTAGTGATGCATATCTTTGTTCAGATTCATTTGCAGCACATATTAAAGCAGGTTTGCTCTTACATTACAATATTTATATCTATGCTATTCTTTTGTTGCGATACTTCAATATCCATGAATCCTCTTTAATTTAATCAATTTAATGTTATCTTCTGGCAGTAATGGATGATATGGAAACAAGGTGCATGTTTTTTGAATTATGCCAATTGGAAATCCTGCTAAGCCTCGTGGAGAATTTCCTTATAGATGGTCAAGTCATGGTGTATAGTGACGCTCAATTTGAACCATTGGTTCCACCTAGTTCAACGAACAACATCTTTTCAGATGACATAACTATGTTTCTGTCCTCTAAAAGGGCAACTCATGAGCAGTTTATAGCTGGAAGCATTATTTTAGCATCCATTTGTGCAGCAGTTGATTATACTAGTTTTATTTGTGAGGCATCTTATAACATTCTTCGAATGTGCAAATCTGATTATGCTTTGATGTTGAAAGTTCTCCATGTGTTTGCTTATCTATGTCGAGAAAAGTATTTCACATTGAGCAACTTCAGACTTGTTATGGCCACCATCAAATCTCTAGTTTTGGTTCTTGAGGGAGGAAATTCATCATTTGGTATCATATCTACATCTTCTCCTACAACATGTGACAATTGGACTGGGTTTCATAAATGTGGAAGATGCCCATTTTCTGAAAGTGCTTTTTCTGTTGATGAAATTACACTGTTCTTGCTAGAGAAACTTCAGAGTTGTGCTATTCCAGGGATCAAAAATCAACATGAGATGGAACATCCTGATTCATTAAACTACACAGTCTTGCCCCAAATGGATGAAGTGGCTGATGAAATTTCTCAGTATAAAGAGGGTCTCTGCATTCTAGATTTGGACTTTGATATCTCCTGTAGCTCATATGATTGTGAAAGTTGTAATTCTGTTCAATCTAGATCTGTTATTGATAGGACTTTGAGTTACTTAAGTGATATTCTTTCACTGGTGGAGCTTATTGCATGCAGCATGGTATGTGTGTTTCATCGTTCTTGTCTTTACTATATCCTCTCTTTTGTGTTCCTTCTATTTTCATGTTCTTAACATTTATTACTAACTTTTCTACATACTAGGTTTGTGATTCTATATCACCATTGGGTCTTGACAGCATTAAAGTTTCTTTGAATTCTGTTTATTTTTAAATGTTTCTTTGGGAGAAAGGTAGTATCTAATGCTTGGAAAATTCTCTCTTGTTTGCATTCAGAATTGGAACTGGACATGCAGAAGAATCATTCCTCATCTCTTGAAAATTCTGGAATCATGTACCTCAGAGAAATTTGCAGCTGCTATTCTTGTTCTTCTTGGTCAATTAGGGAGGTAAGCTCCGTTTTGATTATATTAGACAAGCTCCATCATGTGATATTTGACAGTTGCATGCCTTCTGTTTATTATGACCACTATTTTGAAGAAAGTCAATTCTTCATACTGTTGCACAGTTCAGTTTTTAACAAGTTGGTATATTAGCATATTGACCTTTGCAAGTTTTTAAGGTTGCAGTTATTTGTGATGCAGAACACTGATGCATCATAAAAAATGCAAATAGATTGCAACCATGCGTGTAGGTTCAGCCTTGCACTGATGTTTGCACTAGTTTGTTTGTTATAGGGAGCAAACATGGGTATATTTTTCCACCCATTTGCTTGAACAAGTGAAATAACGTCAAGAAGACTGAATCGTTATAGAAAATATCTACTGGTCATTGCCTTGATCATATTAATCGTGGGATGGTTGCATCCATTTTGAGAGCAAATATGAATTTCGATACACAATGGCAGCCTTGTTGAAAGATAATTTGTAGGTCAAAAACTGAATACAAGCCTGAACCAGAGTGCATATTTCCACTAGTTCAGTATTTCCAAAAAGTGCAACCTAAGCATCTTCCAATGTGTAACTTGATATGAATCACTTGAAATTGATGAACAATGGTTTTATGCGACAGATTTATGATTAGCATCATATGCATTGTTTATATGTATGTCGATCATTGCTTGGTATGAATTTTTTCCCTTTCTCAACATTGTTGGTCTTAACAGAGGCATTGTTACAAGGATGCCTTATTCTAGGATGGGATTCACAAGTCAATGCATCTCCAAAAATTGACTGGTGTCTGATGCCAAAACTATTTTTTTTGAAGTTCTATGTATTTTTGTATTTTTAGACAATTGGGGTATCTTGGTCATTTTATGTTTGTGCAGTTTATTTAGAGTCATTGGTAACTTAGAGACAGCAAGCCATCTTTTCCTTCACTGCCCTCTTAGCATACAATTCTGGTCCCACCTCAGCTGAATTAGGTCTTTCCTCAGACAATGCCTGAATTCTTAGAGAGTTGGCACATGGAGGGCCTGACTGGCAGTGGAAAGATCTGGTTCATGCTTTGTTCTGCTGCCTTATGGACTGTTTAGGTGGAGAGAAATCACAAAATCTTTGAAAACAAACCCTCTCAAACTGAAGTTATCGGAAAGATGACTGCAAATATCTTTTCCTGGGTAAGGCATTAATTGGTCTACAATTCAATTTTTGTATCTAGTATGCTTTCAATGTTTTGTGAATGCTCCTACATAGTGCAATTATTCACTGTGTTGTGAGATCCAATCCATTTTCTTCAGTAATGCAATTATATTTTGCTTTTTGTCAAATAAAAAAGAAGTTTATTTGGAAATTTGAGGTTAGAGTTTGGTTAGAAAGAAAGTTTGATTTGGAAGAAATCCAAGAGGCAGTTTTCTCTATGTATCGCTCCAAAGCTCTGGATCTAGATGGATTCACATTGGCCTTTTATCAGGATTGTTGGGAAATATTGAAGGAGGGCATTTTGTGCGTCTTTTAGGAATTCTAAAGAAGGGGAAAATTAATCCTGGGTTGAACTCCCACCTTTGTGGCCATAATTCCCAAGAAGAAACCATTCACCCAAGAGATTTCAGACCGATTAGCTTGGTGAATATAGGAGTGCAAATGGATCGGATCATGATTCGATCCAAGATCCGATCCGATCCAATTTGGTTGAATTTGGATCACCCTTGATCCGATCTTCCGATCGGATAATAGCATAGTTGTCAAGGCGACTAGGTGAGGCTAGGCGACCATGGGGCACCCAGGCGCCTAGGCGATGAAATCTATAAATATATTAATTTATGGATTTCTATACTTCCTAAAGGACCTAAACCATTTTTTAAGATATATTTGCTTACTAGATACATATTACACTAAGCGTAATCAATAAAATCTTTCATATAAGTATAATTTTCATGTGAAAACATAAAAATTAAACATTTGAATTAAAAGAAATAAGAAATCAAACAAGTTGGCTGATAAAAAAATATGCAATCAAGCAAGTAAACTAGTAAAGTGAGAGAAAATGTCTACTAACATGGCAAGTTCCAAGTTGGCAACACTAAAAAAGTAAACTAGTAGATAGTACCATACCTTTTGGATGATTGAGTGTTGATCTTGAGTATTCTTTTTCTCTGCAACTTTGCCTTCAATTACAAAACAAATTAAAAGAATTAATCAATCAATAAGAAATCAACCTTATCATTAACAAATGGAAGAAGAAGCACTACAACAAAAACAAAAATATTCATAAGAATTCAATACATACCTTGGTTGATGCTTGGTAGTTTAAGAAATAATATGATGAAACTATGAAACTTGAAAGTCATGAAACCATTAAAAAATAAAAAGCATAATAGCATATAATGAATAAGTTAAAACTAAACTATAAATCATCATTCATCTCCAGTTCTCCACAAGTCCACAAAAAATAAATATGAAGTTTAAAACTTAAAATGTATCATAGGCAATACAATCCTTAAAGAAACTTCTCTATTCCTAATTAATTGGAGTGTCTGATAAGTAAGAATCACCAAAACCTCCATTGAATGCACCAACATCATTAGCACCATAATCAACATCTTCATCCTCATCATCATCACTGTCATTATCATCATCATCATCTTCTTCAACATCAATATCTTCTTCTTCATCTTCATTATCTTCCATATCATTGTCTCGTATCTGCTCTTCTTCTTCTTCTTCTTGAACAACACTTTTGCCTTTATCTTGTCTTATAGACTCACTTCTCCCACAACCACCTCTACCTCTACCTCTACCTCTACCTCTACTTGGACCTCCACTTGCATTTCTACGTCCATGTCCACTTCTCCTTGGTCTATTTGACCCTTCAAGGATTTCAGATGCCCCTAGTGCTTCATCAACTTGAGTCCATGTAAGATCACACCCTTCATGGACCAAGTCATTTGAGGGGTCTTTCCTAGTTAACCACTTATTGGTTTCATCTACATCATCAAAGCAAATAGGGTCAAATTGCTTTGGATTTGCACGCCTTGTTGTAAATCTTTCTCGGAGGCGTTAGTTGTATTGAACAAAAACAAGATCATTGAGTCTCTTCTGATCAAGCCTATTCCTCTTTTTTGTATGAATCTACATTAACAACAAAATAAGAAAAATTATAAAATAAGCATCTTAAGTTCTTAACTTTCATAAATAATTTTATCACAAAACCAAACATTAGGTTCATTACTTAGAACTTACATGCTCAAAAGTGTTCTAGTTGCGCTCACAAGCAGAAAAAGTGCATGTAAGACCTAATATGCGTAATGCAATACGCCTAAGGTCTGGGGGTGCAATGTCCATAGCTATGCCACCAATCAGCTACAAAATAGAAAAAATGAATTAAAACAATATAAATTTAAGATAACAAGAATAAAATATAAATATAAGTTTCAAGAAAAGAGAGCTTATATTACTTGGTTGCTTCGTTTCACATTGCTCAATTGCCAATTCTTTAAAGAAAGCACCACGAGCGTGCTTATACTCTTCCAACTGATGAGAGATCTTGTCTTGAATTTCAATATCACCGACCATTCTCTCAATGCAATCTAGAAAGCTCATTTCAAACTTTCCAACCGATGCTTCATCTTGTGCTTTAGCCTTATAATAAAGGGCTGGATTAAGAAAAAAAACCAGCAAGGTGCAACGGATGTTGCATCATATTAGTCCAACGCCTATCAAAAATGTCTAAAATGGGCTTATACTCCCTTTCTTTCCCACTAAAATTTTCTTTTATTTTTTCTCTTGCTCGCTCCATTGCATGGTAAAAATAACCCATTGTGGGTTTCTCATCACCATCAACTAATCGTAAAACCTCCACAATCGGTTGAGCAACCAAAAGAGCAACTCTTACATTTTTCCAAAACCCAATAGAAAGCACAATGCTTGATGCTCTTAGTCCATCTGATTTGTTAGCCCATTTACTGTTGTTCCATACATCACCAACAAATAAAGCATGCAAGGGCTCCTTGAAAGTATACAAACTTTGTAAAGTTAGAAAAGCGGTAGCAAATCTTGTGACTGCACATCGTACAAGATCTCTTCCATTTGTTTTTTTCCTCATGTGTGCAAGAAGAAGAGGATGCCTATAAATAAAAGTAGTCACTTGTCTTGCCTTGGCAATACAACTTTTTGTAGACCTCAATTCTCTAATGTCTTCCAACATAAGGTCTAGACATTGAGTAGCACAAGGAGTCCAAAATAAATTCTTCCTCTTCATTCTTAAAAGATCACCGGCAACAGCATAAGCAGAGTGGTTATCAGTAACCACTTGCACCACATGCTCCTCCCCTATCTCCTCAACAACTTTATCAACCAGCTCAAATAGAAAACTTGCATTATGGACTTCATTTGATGCATCAATTGATTTTAGAAAAAAGTTCATTTGGGAGAATTCACCAAAAAATTAATCAAAGATCTTTGCCTTTTATCAGTCCATCCATCAGACATGATGGTACAACACCATAAGTATTCCAAGAAACCTCATACTCCTTGTACATTAGCTTTGTTTTCTCAACCTCCCCTTTCAAGAGTGGCTCTCGTAACTCATGGTAACTTGGAGGCTTGCATCTGGACCCAAATTGTGCAATTGCTTCAACAATAACTTCAAAACTTTTCAACTTCATCGTTTTGAAAGCAATTCCAGCTTGATAAAACCACTTTGTTATATGTTCATGTACTTTTCTTCTTTCTTCCTTCTTCAAACGACTTTCAATGCTTGTTTGAACCAATTGTCCTTTATGCCTTGCTTCAACAACTTCTTCTGGATTTGGTCTGACAAAACTATCCATAGGTCCTCTGACATTTTCCTTCCTTTTTGGTGGAAGGGGGGAATTTGAAATTGGAGTGCTCCTACCACTTGAAATGGAGACACCTTCTATGGGTTGATTACTTTGATTGTTAGAACCCCTTTCAGATATAATCTGCTCCCATGCCCCACGATTATCTTCAACTGTAAAATCATCCAATGG